AAAAAAAAAAAAAAAAAAATTGCAGATGGTCCAAGATTGCTTCTCATCTACCCGGGCGAACAGACAACGAGATCAAAAACCACTGGAACACACACATTAAAAAGAAACTAAAGAAAATGGGAATCGACCCACTCACTCACAAGCCTCTCCCGTCACAACCCGCGGCCGAGCAGCCGCCGCCGCCGCCGGTCGGCCAAGAACCGCCGCTCGATGCTCCCGATCACATGAAGGAGGAAGAACAAGTCCCGACCAATCCAACTATCGGGCCAGCCTTACTAACCGAACAGTCAACAATCACTACTAACTCAGAGTCAACCATAAATGATCACGAAATAATCCAGGAATACGACAACATGTTGAACAATTGCGCGTTCGACTTTGACCATATTGACCTAGTCAACACGAGCGATTTCGGCATAGATGAAATCCCGGTAATCGAGCCCCACGAGATCTTACTTCCCAACTTGGACGAAAATTTGTCGTCTTCGACCCCTACGTCGTCGTCGTCCTCTTCTTCCTCGTCGTCCTCGTCAGTCAATGTCGTAGACGAGATGCAATTTTCACCGAGCATCGATGACATCTATAGCCAGATTATGATTAATGATCTTTGGTCGGATGATTTCAACGGTCTGGATCTGTTTGTTCCCGGTGATAGTGATTTGATGATAGGAGTTACTAATGATATTAACAACAACAATGTGGATCAGCCACATTTGGTACAGTATCCTGTAATGGCCCCTGATGATGATATGGAGAGTTGGAATAAGTTTTAGATTTTCCATGTAAAAACAGTTAATTGGTTAGTTTTTTTGTCTTGTAAACTTTTTTCTTTGGTGAATAATAAAATGTTCAAAAATAACCATGAAAATGTGCAATAATTACTCCTTTGTTCCCTTTTATCTTTTGAGAGAAAAAAAAAAAGTTGTGGCTTTTTCTTGTTTAATTTGTCCACCGTCTGTGCTTAATTGTTCTTTAGGATGCATGTTTGATTTGAGGTGTGACTACCAAGTAATTGTTCAATGAATAGCATACATTTGAACAATATTATTATTACTAGTACAACGCTCGTGTATTACACAGGTGCTTGTTGAAAAATTATTCTTAAATTTTAAAACTAATGAGAAAACTATAAAAATCTAGTTTACTTTTTTACAAAAAAAATATATTACTCTATATTTTAGAATGATATGTGTTACTTATGACTTACATGTGTTATATTATATTAGTTTTTATAACTTATATCATATAACTACTTGAAATATAAATATATTAGTTGTTAACAAATTTTATTTTTCTAATTAATATTAAAAATAATTTTATTATTGTTATAAAGATAAATATAAATTATTTTTTTATACATACAATATAATGTTAAATCGAAACTCATCAAAAGACGATTAATTTGATATATTACATATGTAAAACTGAAAAAAATACAAAAGTTATTAACTTTTAAAATATATATACAATTTAATAGTTATAATAAGAAATAATATTGAAATGCAATTAATACATGTAACATGACCATAAATAATCAACATATTTATGGTAATCCGAACCTAATTACTTTTGGTTTGGAATTAAATTAAAATTTATCCAAGCCTAGTAACGAAGCATGTAATTTTGCCACATAGGATTCCGAAGCACCAGAAGCAGCCACGTAGGCTCAGCGCGTTCTGGATTAATATATAAGGGGGATTATTATTTTTTTTTTCAAACGATAGAAACCAAATAAAAACCAAAAGCCCAAGAAGCATTAGGCCTCGCCCACGGGAGCCGCCAACACTAGACCCAACCCAGGTCGGAAAGGGGGCGGCCGTAGACTTCTGCCGCCCATCTTCCAAACCAAAGTGGCTGGAGGATCGTTGGAGGGTGTCGTCGTCGCCGGTGCGCTGAATTCTACCTCTGCAAGAAGAAGGGGGGAGACCGGATTTGATTTTTTTTTTCTCCTTCAAAAAGTTTTAGAGAGAGAGAGAAAGGGGCTATATGAGTATGATAGACTTTGAAAATATTTGAAAACAATAAGATATTCAAAATAAAATCATACATAAATCGTTCATAAATGAATCATAAGTTAAAAGATAATGCATTTTAGAAACCAATAACGAAAATAAATCACAAATCAGTCATGCATAAATAGTAATAGTTGTTAACACATTTGTAATTGAAAAAAAAAAAAAATGTAAATGTACAGTTAAAAATGAATCTCTCTCTCTCTCTATATATATATATATAATTGGTTGAGAATGAGATATAATGAAAGAAATTAATAAAACTAATTGTGGACCATTGGATCTATCATATCAAGTGTCATGATGAGGTCTGATTTGATAAATAATGGTCAATGATGTGGTGGTAATATCGTAAATAAGTGGATATGTCGTGATCAAATATATACATTTGACTATTCAGTAAAGACAAAATGAACATTACACACTCATCAACCCACACGTGGGCCCCATCTCATCCCACCAACCCTCCTCTCTCTCTCTCACACAAAAGCACACACACACACGCGCACGCACACAAAACACACACACAGTACGCCCACCGCCGAACATCGCCAACCCTGCCATTACCACCATCTCGTAGCTGAAGTCATGGTGGTCGTCGATGATGATGACGCGGTCGTCAGGTAGGATCCGGTGGGAGGTGTACCACTGTTGGACGGTGAGGTTCATGAGGAGCTCGATCCCAGCCGCAGTCGGCGGCAGCGCATGGGGTGGAGATGCGGATCTTGCAGTCGCCAAAGTAAATTAAACTGAAAAATCATAAGATCATTTATTGAACTGCCACGTAAATTATTAAATTGCGAAGAACTAAAATATTTATTACATGTAACATGTATGTAAATTATAAGTTCAGAAAAAAATATAAATATTTTATATTGTTTGAAACTATGACGACAAACCAATGGATCATCTGTTTAACATGTAAATTATTAACTAAGAAAGAAAAAAATATTTATAATTTATATTAGCATAAATTAGAATGATAAATTAACCGGTGTCGAATTGTCGTATGAATTATTATATTAGAAAGATTCAAAATATTTATAACATTCTTTATTAATTACAAAATATTAAGATAATTTTGACTTCGTTAAAAATTAATAAAAATTATAAATTAAAAATAGTATACACTACATTATTTTAAAATAAATTATCGACTTATTACATTTGCCACAAATTTTTTATCATACCATCATTCA